GGGAAAAAGAAAGACAAAATGACAACGAAAAACGCAACAAAAATGGGACAAACATCAGCAAAAACGTGCATAAAATTTAAAGCCTAACCTAACGAACGAATTAACACATGAGATTTTTACCAGAGCAAGTACAGCAATTAGGGATCAACATATACAAATTCTAGAAATTAACATCAAATACACAAATAATGAAAATTCATACAAGAATCAGCAGTTTATCGAATTTTAATTAAAACCGAACCAATTTGAGCTCTAAAAATTCTAATCTTTTTACAGCATGACACTCCACATAAAATAAGCATCTCAGCCACATATCAGAATTATAGAGCAAAAGACCAATTTATTATAATTAAAAATGTCTTTCTGCAAAAAGCTTAAATAAATTATTTACCCTATCAATCTCAGTCTAAAAGTTATAAAAATTTTACACAACAGCATAATCATAGAAATACAACATACTAAAATTTCATCAAGTTTGGAGCACAATTCATTTTATCATCCAATTAATACGATTCTGCCCAGAAATCACTTTAATTAATTAAAATAGCTACAGATGGAATTAAATTCTGAAATTTTCACACAACATGCAATATTAACACAGGACATCACATATGAAATTTCATGGCAACCGGAACAACATATAATTTATGATGAATTTAATACATTTCAACAACTAGTTCGGTTTCGAAAAATCATATAAGACTCGAAACACACCGAATTCGTCCAAGGCCTTCGCCATGAGGCCAAGGACACGACAAGGTTCCAAAATCCATAGTCCTAACACGAGTTCGATGGGATTTCGCATGATTTCACATTAATCGATAAAATCCCTACATAAAAGTATAATATATAATCCTAAATAACGAAATAACTTCAAAGCTCGAAACACATATATAAACGAGAGGGGAGTCGAGCTTCGATACCATTCTTGGGATTAGTACGCGACGAAGATCAAAACGATGGCCGAGACGGGAAGTTTGGAGGCTTGGAGCACGCCCGTCGAGCTCAACGACAACGGCTCGCGTGGGTGGCGTGTACGTAGTTCTGCGGGGCTGCCCCGGCTCGCTAGGGACATTGGAAAACGCTCGCGGAAGTGCCGATGGACAGCGGGAATCGCTGGTGGTGCTTGACCGAAACGAGAAAGCTCAAAAACTTCGTTTGGCTCGCCGATGGAGCACGATGAATGGGACAACAACAAGGGCCCTGCTGGGGAGATGCTCACGAATAGCAACACAAAAGACACGTCAGGGCTCGCCGGGAATCGCCGGAATTCTGCTCATGCTCGTGGCAGACCAAGGTGATGATGGAAAGAGTCAGCGACGACCTGGGAGTGCTCACGCGAACGGGAAATCTCCGGAGGAAGCCGCCGTGCAGCGGCGCTCGGTGGGACTGATCGTAAACGGCAGGCGAT